AGATTGCCAAAACACCAATAAGAAATTATTACTCTACACAGAAATAATTAGTGAAACTATCATATTTATACAGCATTCAGACCAAAACAAGTCTCTTGTGTACCTTGGCAATCAAACGGGGCATCTTGTAGCGGTAGAACTGATCCGACACATTGCGGTTGACGTTGACAGACATTTTGAGTGAGCTGAGGCACTATCAGCAAGATAAGAAGATCTTGAATGGGATTTTTTGGGTATCTTCTGTCTGGAGAAGAGGGGATGACATAAACAACTGCAAGTGTGCTCGGTCTCTGACATGAAAAAGATCTTGCCACAGTGGCTGCAAACTCCTTGCTCGTGGACTAGGTTTCCTCCGCTTGCTTTCCAACAGCTGCGCAACAGCTCTGAAAAGCAAAGTGAAATACACTATTATACAACAGTTATTTCCACTGCTTAAATTAATTAGATAAGTTACTTGACATTCCACTTGATGCATTGGATTGTTCTGAAAGCCATTTTGAAGGCAGAAGAGATATACAAACTAACTGGCCAATATTTGTATACGGAAAAATTGCAGCTGTGCAGATATTTAGTACAACAGCACGATTTATCTTCTGTGCAACATTTGAATAATATAACCAATTCAGGACTTGAATCAAGACTGAACGTATTCATTTTTATGACCATTTAGTGACTCATTTTTAGGTATTTAGGAAATAGTTTCAAAAATATATAATTTATTGTGTAACAATCTATTTTAACTGTTCGCAAACAATACTTATATTTTAGAAAACACATTAACTAATGATCTTAATATGAAGAGAAAAAAAGGCTGTTAATGTTTCTTGTCTTGTCACATTGAATAATTAATTACACGGGTCAAAGAGCGTAAACGTAAAAGTCTGTCAGTCATAAAAACATAGGCCTATCTGACTATTGGAAAAATACATGTCAATGGTGGTTAGGCCACATATAATTAACTTTACAATAAATATAATAAATTACTTTGAAATGTTCTTTCTGCCATCCATTATTACAGGAAAACATACTAAATTAAATAATTTAATAGAGGTATTTTTTAATAATTTAATAGAGTCCTTGATCAAGACCCCAGCTACCCACGTCATCGACTGCGTCAGCAGGTTTTAGAATGACTCAAGCCAAATGAACACGTGGTGAGGAAAATTTTACAGCTGTAAGTGTAAGTTACGTGACAGAACAAGGTTTCCAAAAACCAAAATTACGATCACGTAGTATTATGCGCGTGTCCATCGGTTAGTCTCTTTGAAAGAACATTAACATTAAGAGAATAAGAAATATTCAGAGCTCACGTCAGTGTATAAGGGTCTTTTAGCATGCGTTTATAAATTGTGTAAGCTACCGAGTCACACGTAACGTTATTGCACCCAAGGTCGATATACACACATGGTTACCCGCTCGAGCTAAACCCACTAAAGGTACGCTATTTGTACATCGAAATAAACACGCCGAATATCGACGACTGCCATTAGATCACCCTAAATGATTTAAACACAGCAAAGACGCGTTTGCTTTGACAAACCTCAGAAAGAGTCGTAAAGTTGTGTGATCGTCGCGGTGGTGCAGAGTGCGTCACGGTTAGCGCGCAGCGGAGTGCGCAAAAGCACCATGACGCCATTTTGTTCCCCTCCGTCAAGCTAGTTCACACCCATTAGCTAGTTATAAAAACCACCAAAACACTCGTTTCCAAGTCATATGTACCCAAAACGCATTTACAAATGTGTAATAGATATTGGCAAAGCCGTTTATGCAAATGATCGGCCGTATACTCACCGTTTCCGTAAAATAAAGACATAAACACAACGCTAGTCGTCCACCGACGGAGTGAAGGGTTGACAGTGGAAAGCCTGGATATGTTGGGTCGTGATCCAAAGAATGTAACACGACACAACGGTACAGAGATAAAACCTGGAAAGTGCTGAGCGATGCAGCCGATCAGTCGAGGGGTAGCTATCGGATTTCCGGAGAGAAGCTGGATTAGAAAAAAAAACTAACGTTAGATTTGTCAAATGTAACTTGGCAACACACTTGCTGTGTGATACTTATAAAGCTAAGCAGCTCCCCGCTTCGTCATAACAAGAAAACAAACGTTTTTTTCAAACGACCTCTTTGGCATTTATTAGACTCAAACACTACGGATATATGTCTTAGACGTGTTAAATTACCAGCATTTAGTTTTAAAATTGGTTAATGTCACGTCTTACCTTTCCAGAACCTTCTTTGCTCCACGCAAAGGCAGAATGAGTTGTGAGTGCTGATGATGGGCGTGTACCTCGCGTGCAAGCCACATAGCCCCGCCTACCGTGGCCATTCATTGGCTAAAATCCTTTTCTGTATTCAATTTCCTAACGCTGACTTGCTCCTTTTGACGTCAATCATAACTGAATCACATAATCAGTATTTATTTCGGTTTACGTTCTTCTCATGCAATTCATATCCCGCAATAGAGAATTATATAGGTTATGTAAGTTAGTCTAGTTGAGGCTTTTTGCATCAAAGAAAATGCAACGTCCTTTTAAAAGAGAATTTTTAATAAAAAATAATAGTAAGGGGAGTGCAGGCTATACCAGTTAGGCTACTGTACCCAAATAGTCATTGCAAAACTTAAATGGTAAGATATGGAATTAGGCTTTATGTAGTCACCACATACAAATCAGATTCACAAAAGGTGCAAAAGCACCATAAAGAGTTCCATATGTCTTTTGTGTATCATATGACATTATAAAACTTAGATTATGATTCTCAACTTTTTTGACTACAATACTGTTTTTTTTAGCATTTTAATTAAGATTACGTAATTATAACACAATTTTAATCACTTCAAGACTTATTGGGGCCCCCAGAAGTTTGCTGAGGCCCCCTAGTGGGCCCCAACCCCGTGGTTGTATGCAAACCATTAACTTAGCATACAAAAAGTTCTAAGACTATTGACTTTAATGATACTTGTGGCATGTCAGGTTTAAATTATGTTCTGTGGATGTTTATTTCCTTTTCTGTTTGCATTTGTTTCCTGTGCTTCCTTTCTGGTTACTGATTATGCCCTAGTTTGTTGTCATGGTTACTTATTGCTTTGTGCACCTATTTCTTGTTCAGTTTGTTAACTCGCTTTCAGAGTATAGCCCTCTTCGGACGGGACTAGTTTTCCAGGGGGACGTTGGAGAAATTTATGTTTCACAGACATAATTTGTAATTTTAATCCTCCTGTCTTAATCAAGTCTGTGTTTTTCTCGCAAAACCTCTGTAAAAATTCAAGCAATTGAAGCTGTTACATTGGTTTTTGAACTCATGTTTGATTTCCTTTGTTCATTAATAGAATAGAGTTAAACAGCTGTTATTATATCCACCTCACCTCTTCCTTGCCTTCGTCTCGCCTGCACGTGACAGAATACTGGACCTAGAAGAGAGAAATAACTGATATGCCAGCCGTTCACCTCCTCCTTACCCAGGAGAATCGCTCCCTTGATGACCACACCAGTGAGTTCTTGGGTCTTGCCCACTTTGCACACTACCCTCATTTCATATTTTGGACTGGTTTAAATCCGAAAAAAGGAAAAATTGTTCCCCTGCCCGTTTATGGTCCTCAAGGGATATTTACGGATTTTGTAGAACTGGTGCTTGTTTACCATAGATATATACATATGATATACAATGAATATAATAAATTTACTTTTAATGTTCTCTCTGCCATCCGTTATTACAGGAAAACAAACTAAATTTAATCATTTAATAGAGTCCTTGATCAAGACCCCATACACACGTCATCTAGTGCGTCAGCAGGTTTAAGAATTGTTTTTTTTTTAACCTTTATTTAACCAGGAAGAGACTCATTGAGATTAAAAATCTCTTTTTCAAGACTGTCCTGGCCAAGACAGGCAGCAGTACAGCCATACATACAGATACAAAATAAACAAAAATAATAAAAACATAAAACATCTGAAATAGCAAATCCCTTGAAGTCAACCAATCCTTTACACATCAGGCAAAAAATCTACAGCCACATGTGGCTGCCTCCAAGGCAGTTAACATCCTCTTAAAAGCGACCAATGGGACCAGTTTATTAAGTTTCATGCATTTCTGTAACTTGTTTCATGTAGAGGGAGCAGCGAACTTAAACACCTTTCCCCAGCTCAGTTCTAACCTTTGGAACAGACAGAAGGAAAAGATCCTGGGAACGAAGATTGTAAGTCCCGATATTATTTACGGTGATGTAGGTCAGATGGAAGTAGACCTAAAATAGCCTTATATATGAAGATACCAGTGTTGAAGTCTCTGTGTTGATAGAGAAGACCACCCAGCACGTTCATACAGTTCACAAATGGTGAGTGAGGACTTTAAAACCAGTGATGAACCTCAGAGCTCCATGTGTCCAGTGCATGTAAACTTTGAGACGAAGCAAGCATGTATAAAACATCACCATATTGTCAAGTATAGACATAATGACAGAATGACTCAAGCCAAATGAACACGTGAGGAAATTTTTTACAGCTGTAAGTTACATGACAGAACAAGGTTTCATAACCGCACCTAACATAATTTAAAATATATATATATTTTGATACATAATGTCATAGTAATAATAACAGGCTCCAGTCTTCCCGTGACCTTACAGATGTTGAGCGGTATAGAGAATGGATGGATGAGAAATAATAATTTATAAGAAATAATAATAATAATAATAATAATAATAGTTGATCACAATAGAGAATCATTTATATCCAGCTTCTGACTGGTACCATACATGGCATATATCATGAAACACTGTGCAAACTTTCTGCTCAAACCTGCTGCAACATACATCTGATACTTCAAAGAAATTAACCACAATCATATCCTGTGTGTAAGAGCAGAAACAGCCACAACATACAGTAGTTGAATTTCACCATTTACTAATGAGCACCTGTACTACAGCTGACTTTTTTTAGGGATCTAAATCTAACAGATTGCAGAATCTAAAAGCCCTTAATGAACAGAAAAATTACACCTACAAAAATGTTTAAAGCGTTAAAGTTTTTTTGGGGGAAAAAAACAGCCAGGAATAAAGAGGATCAGTTTCCTCTTGTGATGCCAAATCAACATGCAGAAACCTCCGATGGTAAGATAATGCTTTTTCATTTTTAAATAATTGAGTAAAGTCAGCCATTTTTGGAGGGTAAAATAAAATGGTCAGCATCTTTGAGAAAAAACTGCAATCACACTGTTAAAAAAAAAAAAATTTACTTACCCTCAAGTTGTTTTAAACCTGTATGAATTTCTTTCGTCTGCTGAACAAAGGGAAGATATTTGGAAGAATGTCAGTAACCAGACAGTTGATGGACCACTTTGACTTCCATAGTAGGAAAAAAATACCATGGAAGTCAATGGGGTCCATTAACTGTTTGGTTACTGACATTCTTCCAAATATCCCTTTGTGTTCAGCAGACGAAAGAAATTCATACAAGTTTGAAACAACTTGAGGGTGAGTAAATGATGACAGAATTTTCATTTTAAAGTGATCTATTCCTTTAAGCTGAGCATTAATATCACATAATAGTGTCATTTTGTTAATCAAACTGATAAAATGATTTCCTACACCAAAACAAGTTATACTTATTTAAATGGAAGAAACTTCGCCAAACACTTATCACTAATGGTGACTTGAAACATCATACAAACTTTTACAGCAAAATATAATCAAAAACACAACATAAATCTAAAACATCAATTATTTCTGAATAAAAAACATTTATGTCATCATAAGTCCACATGATTTGACTAAAAACAAATTATTTAAGTGCATCATCAGTGATCAAACTGAGCATGATCAGTAGCTTGTTAGTTCACCCTCACCACCAAACTTGACATTCAAGGTTTTGCTTTTTAATATTTTAAGGTGCTCATACAAAACGTTTTCTACATTTGATACTTCATCCAGCTTTTAAAATAGAGTTTGTCTAAAAATGAAAGTTGGATTTTTTTACAGTGCAGAATGCAGTCCTCTGAATGTGGACACAGGTGTTGTCCTTTTGCATGTTGTTTCATATATAAGTTTGAAATTTCAAAAGCAGTTAATGCACAGAAATTCACATGCATTCAGCAGGAGAACAGGAAAGCACAGTTGACTTAAGGATGACATCTGGTTCAGGGGTTGAAGTGAGTGGCAAGCAAGAGCTTGATATTCTCAGAAAGATTCTGAGTGAACAATCAAACCCTGAGGACCTTGACAAGGCAGCTGAGGTGTTGAAAAGATGGAGCAAACTGAACCGTGTTACCATAGACAAGAAAGAAGGCAGATTCCCTCAAAACTGGCCCTGTGAGTATCTTCAAGAAATAGATCAGTTTGTGGAAAACCACATTCCCACGCTGCCAGTAGAGGGACCACAAGGATCTCAGTTAGAGCAGTTACGGGACTTTCTAAAGAGCACACACAGCATGATATGCCATGAGGTGTTTCGATTAACACCTGTACTGGAAGATACTGGGCTGCTATATCGTCTGATTGACAGTTACAGCCGTCACCTCTTTCTCAAGTTGGACCTGCTCCTAAACAGAGATCTGTCTGTGAAAGAGACCTTCTGCATTTTACAGTGGGGGAAAGATGTTTTCTTCAGGTATGCACTGCAAATTTGTTGTATGTAAAATTTGTATAACAAACAAACAAGTTAATTTTGAACTGTTGAAATGCACTCTATCATTCAAACGTTTGGAGACACTTTAAAAAAAAAAGAAATTTATACTTTTATTCAGCAAGGATGCATTAAATTGATCAAAAATTACACTAAAGACACTTATTGTATTTTAAATATGCTTTTCCATCACAGGATGAAATTACATTTATAATATATTACAATAAACAGTTCTTTTAAATTGTAATATTATTTCACAATATTCCTCTTTTTACTGGGTTTTTGAACAAATAAATGCAGCCTTGAAGAGCATAAGAGAAAAACCTTTTAAAAAGCTTACCAACCTTTTGAACATTGATGTGTACTATATGTATCAGTTCAGACTCAAAACTGAGAGTGTACGACCCGCTGCTGTTGACAGGATGGTTTGAGAGAGCAAAGCAGAAACTGCTTCAAAAACTTCAGGTATGACTTCACAGTTTATGACTGTTTGTGTGCTATTTTAATTACTGTATTTCTCTCTCATTATAATGACTAATATCTCAGTAATACATGAATGGACCCAAAACAAGAGAGATGTAACACACATGTCTCTGTCCAACTTTAATTGCAACAGAATGACATCTCTAGGACTTTACAGAACATCCTGCACTATGATGAGCAACATGGACATAATGAGGACTCAATGGAAGAGGAAACTTTCATAAGACTTCACATAGATGTCACTCAGGTAGCTCTTGGAGAGAGAAAGTAAAGCAAGACTTATTTTTATTTTCTCATGTAAAAAGGTACAGGGGATTTATATGATATATTGCTCACATATTTTATGTTTTGCTTTCACAGTGTCTGAATTGTGCTATTTTAGATGCAAAAAAGGTTGGTCTAACCTTGATGCATGCAGTACAAATACTCTGTAGTGAAGAGCTGCATGGCTTTACTCAGAAGTAGGTTTCTCCTCATCTTATATTACCCCTTGCCCAAGGTTTACAGATTAAAACTCTCATGTAATGAGTATCCAGTGATTATCTATTTTGTGCAGGAGAGGGGAGGTTTGTGATCCTGTGCTTAACATAAAAATGTGTTTTCTTAGGTATGTGGATACTGAGAATAAACGTCTAAAAAAACTAAAGTTTACTGAGAAGAACTCTGTGTATCTGTTTTGGATTATCAACACTTGTATGCAACTCAGGTATTTACTAATGATCATTAAGTATACTACTTTATAGTAAAGGAATATTGCAGCTGCCAGTCTCTGCTTTAATCGAGGAGTTCAAGTGTGCCAAGGTCAGACTGGAAATGACCTTAGTAGAGTCACGCGACAAATGTGTCAGGGAGGCAGCCCCTGTGTTAAAAACTGGTAGAAAGTGGTCAGCAAAGAAATCTGTAGTAGAGGCAAAGGCTGCCCTTCAAATTAGGGATATCGTGGGACAGGTACAGCATGGAAGAGGGGGTTTTGGGCTCAGTTTAGCTCCTCCTAAATGGCACAAGGCAGGCCCAGCTCAAAGGAGGAAGCTGGTAGTCAACGAGGTGCGACAGCAGGAGGAGAGGATGAGGTGTATAAAGGCCATTTCCCAGGCCAAGCAGGGAGAGTGGATGAGATGGGAGAGTGTGGAACAACGTAAGATGGGCTGGCGAGACCTTTGGTCAATGGAAGAGAGTAGGATCAGTTTCCTTATTAGGTCAACATATGATGTTCTCCCATCACCGCAGAACCTAAACCTCTGGGTAGGAGAGGATCCCTCTTGTCCTTTGTGTTCATCACCTGCCACATTAAGGCACATTTTGACAGGATGTAAGGTGGCTCTTAGCCAAGGTCGGTTTACTTGGCGCCATGACCAAGTACTGCGATGTTTGGCTTTAGCATTAGAAGGCAAGCGTAACATGACCAATAAGTTGCCACCTGTTCTAGCAAAACATTACACGCAGAAGACAATATTCCTCCACCCAGGCGAGCAACCACCAAGAAAAGGTGTTAACACCAATTCTCGCCCAGGACAACTGGAAGCTGCTAGGGACTGGAAGATGCTGGCTGATCTTGACCAACGGCTTATTTTTCCACCTGAGATTGCCACCACTAACCTACGACCAGATATTGTTTTGTGGTCTGGATCAGCACGCATTGTTCAACTGATAGAGTTAACAGTGCCATGGGAGGATGCGGTAGATGAGGCATATGAGAGGAAGAAACTGCGGTATGCTCATCTGGCCACTGAAGCAGAACAGCGGGGATGGAGAGTCCAGGTTTATCCAGTGGAAGTGGGTTGTCGAGGTTTTGTGGCACACTCTACAACCCGGTTCCTCAGAGACATCGGATTCAGCGGCCAAGAGTTGCGTCGCACAGTAAAGAACTTATCTGAAGCAGCAGAAAGGAGCAGCAACTGGCTGTGGTTGAGACGGAAAGATTCTAGCTGGCTGTGTACAGGCCGCCACGGTACGGTTTAGTAGAATTCTTGAAAACTTGAAGAATCTGTTGGTTTGTTTGTATACGTTCCTGTGGATATTGCGTGAATGACGGGTGGTTGGGCAGATATTGTGTTTTGCGGTAGGTGGTATGCCATACGGAACCGTTGTCCACTGAAACTGCATATTAACGCACCAGTGGGGCTCGACAGCCTTCGTCAAACGGGTTGGCGCGTATGGTCGGGTTGCGGAGAGATTGTGAGATTGTGGTTAGGTCTCAGCAGCAGGAGGGATGTAGAGGTCAGTAAGCTGGGCTGAGTTGAGTGGGGGACGGAGGGGGGTGACTCTGGGACGCCAGAGTCACTGTCGAGCCCTCTTGAGGTGTCGTGGGCTAGTCGACGAAACACTGAGGACGGAAGGTGCCCACTTGAAGACCCTAGAGATGTCCCCTACTCGGTTCAATCCAGACGGTTGTCGTGCTGGTCCTGTAGTTGCAGCCGTCGCGTGCGCTGACGCACCAAGTACACTGCTGCCGTTAACGCCGGACAGAAGGGGAGTCACACCACCTTATGGAAAGAAGCGTAAATGGATGGAGAAGCATAGTTTACTGTAAAGCTACGTCTTAGTTTTGCTTATCTTGGCGAAAGCCGAGTACAAATCAGCATGAAGTTTTAACATCTACTCTCGTGTAATGGAAATCATTTTTTTTACATGGCTCAGAAACGGTAACATTGTATTAACTCTGCATTATGAAAATGTCAAGACATATTTGTCACCCTTGACTGATTTATTCAAAGTGTTAAATTATAATTGTGGGAATATTTGTAACGATTTGGCCCAGAGGATAATGATGAAAAGTTCAGAAGTTTAAGGTATATGAAATCTAACAAAGTAAAGCTATGTGACAGTGTAAAAGGAGCCAAAGTGGTAATTTGACCATGACCGACTGAGGTGACACAGGGAGATGAGGCCCAGGTGAAGTCCATTGGATCAAGAAACCCGACACCATCGCTGGACCTGGCAATAAAGGCGGAGTCCCAGCTACGAGCAGCTGAGGTGGAGCCAGTGGGCCTGAGGACTGAGGCGGTGTGAGTGAGGACCCTGGTGGAGCCTGAGAGATCGAGCGCAGCTGACAGCCTGGAAGTGCCAGGTGATGATGGAGCAACGACTGACCAGGACAGAGCAAGTGGGACGAGGGAGCCCGGTGGAACTGAAGGGATGACGGTCCCAGTTAAAGCCGAGGGAATGAGAAGCCAGGGCGGAGCCGGCTGGTCGACGGTCCGAGGTGGAGCCAGGGATTTCCCATGCCTCTGCGGAGTCCCAAGTCGGATCCGGGTTGCATGGTGGATCCGAAGGGCTGAAAGAATCCAGTGGAGGCAGGGCAAAGGCAATGGCTGGCTTAGGTGGACCGAACAGGGGAGGAAAGTTGGGTGTAGAGACAGACTTGGTGGTAGACAAGGATGATGGCGACAAAGAAAATATTGCGTTGGACAGAACCAGTCGTGACGAAGACAACTCTGTTCTGGTCGGGACCAGCGGCGATGAAGACAACACTGTGCTGGATGGAACTTGCAGCAATGACGAAGACAGCTGTGCTGGATGGGACCATTGGTGATGAAGAGACATTAGTGCAGGAGGGGACCAGTGACAGAGAAGGTTTGTGTGTGGACAGGGTGGGAAGCACTACCTCTGTATTCCAGTCTCTAGCTGTTCTTCCTCTCCCAGCTCCACTAAAACTCCCACAGGCATGGATCTAATGGACGGTTCACACACCTGATCAGGCGGGACCTCAGGCATCTCTTCCGACAGACTCTTCCGGACAGACTTTGCAACGAAGATTGATTTAGATGGCATAGTTCTAAAATAGGACGCAACCCCCCATCCTTCTTTGGGACGATGAAATACCAGCTGTAAAACCAGGACTATCTCAGGTGGAGGAACACATTCTATATAGCCTATTTGGTCAAGAGAGTCTTCATCTCTTGTTCCATAACCAGAGCCTGTTCAGGGGCCGACGTAGTGGGCAGAATCCTGTTGAAACAGGGAGGACGAGAACCGAACGGAATTCTGTATCCTTTTTCTAATGTGAGCAGGACCCAGTGTGACATATTTGGCAGAAGCTTCCATGCTGCCAGATAGTCTACTCAGAGAACCAGTCTCTTGAGACTGGCCTTTGGTGTACTTAGTCTCTGGTACCCTGAAACAGTTGACCGGCAGGGAACAACCGAACTGGCTGCTCTAAGAACCTCCTTAGAGGTTGCGAGTCTCCTAGTGCTGCTATGTATACGGGCTGGCACTGGGATATAGACTCGTTTGGAAACTGCTGCGCCCTGAAGGACCAGAGGTGGTGGTGTTGAGGTGTACACCACTTTCCCCCGGAGAGGCCTGCCCTTATAGAGGCCTGGCACTGATGGTGTCAGGACCTCTTAGCCGAATCCTTCCTAGCTAGAATGGTGTTCTTCAGATACGTCTTACCTGTGTCAGACTTTGACTTCAAGCACTTCCCCAACCCCAAATCGAGAGGTAACGCTCTGCTTTTGTTGCGCCCGATGTGAGGAGCTGCTCCTGAGACCTTAGACCGGCCAGGGAGATACTGCTGGAACACCGCCTGCTTTTTGGCCTCCTGAAACCTCTCAACAACCCTGTTGACGCTGTCCAACAGAAAGGACTTGTCCTTCTCTTTTATATTAGAGTTCTTCTTCTTTATTTGTCCCCGTAAGGAACAAATTGGATTGGCTATCAAGTAGGCATTTCAACATACATCATAAATCATACTCCACAAAGAGGCTATTAGAGAGGTTTAACCACAGGTGGCTCTCCTAACCTGCCAGGGCTGTCATAGCTCGACCAATAGCTCTGGCCATCTGCTTGATAGCCTGAAGAGACAGGTCTGTTGCCCGACGCAGTTCTCAAACTGTGTCCGGATTAACTCCCTCGCCATCATCTAGGTCTTTTAGAAGGTTGACCTAGAATGCCTGCAGTATACCCATTGTGTTCAGGCTATATAAGCCTAAAAGTCCATGAAAACTAAACTAAGCACACAGATCGTGACTAATATTTGACTGCCATATTTGTCTAAAACATTGTGTCAACCTTTAGGGACAGCCCTTGTGTAAAATAAAATGGCTAGGTTATGACTAGAGTCATTATATCCTGTGAGTGTATCATTTTAAAAGATATTAGTGCAAATATTAATTTCTTTCTATCAAAAACTTTTTAAGTTAACTTTTTAGTGCACTTCTAATAGGCTTTTTCCCTAAAATGTATTGATTCACATGCTTACAGAGTTAACCCTACAATGTTTAATTCACAGAATTTTCTGCATTTTTTTCATAAAATCAGTGTTATTTTACTACAGATGTTGCGCTACACAAATCAGTCCAGATAAAAACAACAGCGATGATGTCTCAATAACTATAAGCATGCTACAGAAACTGGAAGATAAGGCTTCATCCATTGTACAAAAGATCATGACATGCTTAACACAGGTATGTCTAGTTCTCTTACGAGAGTATCTCTCGTACTGCGTAATAGCTTTACGCTAGGGGAAAAACTCTTTTCCGCGAGATATTGAAGCCAAAAATTATCCTTAATTTTTTATTAATGTAAAACGCTTTGCAGCAGCAAGCAGACATAGGCGAAACAGCTCGCGCGCCTATTGGTTGCTCTGCAGCAAATGCAGCAGCCTATCGAGAGAGACTCTGCGTGACGTAATGACCAATGGGGGCAATTCGCGCCCATATCGTCACGTCCCGCCAGAAGGGGCGTGGTCTCACCCTATAAATATGCTCGTTAGGCTGATACAAGCTGATTTTTACCTCTTCAGCGAAGCACACGCATCGCTGGATCCGGAGTGAGAAGCCGCGCCGTCGAAGCAAGCCTTTCAGCGGGACGAGCTCTGGAGTCGCTGGCCTCGCCGCCTTCAACTGCCGTACCTGCTGCGCTTTCCGGCGTTCTATATCCTTTTATACTCTGTGTGTATTTACTCTGTTGAGAGTGTTTGCTCGCTTACTTGACGCGACTCACACTTCTCTCACAAAAGAGCTGCGTCTTTTTAAAGATGCCTTCCTGTGGCTCGTGCCGCGCCCCGCTCAGCGATGGAGACCGGCACGTCATCTGTGTTTCCTGCCTGGGTGAGGATCACGCGGCTCTCGCGCTCGCTGACGGCGGATGCCCTCATTGCGAGTTTTTGCCCATGGTGACTCTGAGGACTCGCCTGGCATCATTCTCCGAGCCTTCACCGCAGCCCGCCGTGGTGCCGCGCCGCAAGAAGCGCCGCGCCCAGCGCGCTCCCGAGCTTTCTCCAGCCCGCCAAAGCTCGCCGGTTCGCCCGCCAGCTTCGCCGGCTTCGCTCGAGTCGCTCACTGACGGACAACGGCCGCCGCCTGCCGCCGCGTCCATCCACGAGTTTGACGAACCCACCGAGGCGTGTTCTCTTCTGGCATCCGATAGTGAGGATTGGGCGAGCTCCGTGGATCTCCCCTCCGCTAGCGTTTCCCGCCAGACCACTGGTAAGAGAGCCGGCATTGAGACTGAGCTGATGCGTCTGCTCTCTCAGGCCGTGGGAAGCATCGGCCTCGATTGGGAAGCGCCCGCGCAACCGCCGCGCAACAGGCGAGCTCTGTGGACCTCCGCCTTCTGTCCGCGAGTCGTCAAGGAAACGGGCCAGCATCAAGACCGCGAGCCCTAAAAACCGCGGCTAGCTTTCTTTACGTTATAAGAAATCTACCCCGCCCCCCATGGGCGTGCGTCACCGGCAAATGAGAAAAGAGTGTGTTTTAGTCCCCGCCGAGGCCGGACTAATCTCCATTTCTCAAACATTTCTCAGCTCCTAGTTTGAGCGGCTGAAAATGTCATTATTGCAGCAATGAGCCTGTTGTATAACACGCACACCTGCATACAAACGCCGACAATAGCGTCTGGCTGCAGACAAGTGACGTCACTTGCACTCTCGGACTTGCACGCTCAGACACGAGCGCTTCCTCTGCAAGTGACGTCACTTGCACTCTCGGACTTGCACGCTCAGACACGAGCGCTTCCTCTGCAAGTGACGTCACTTGCACTCTCAGACACGAGCGCTTCCTCTGCAAGTGACGTCACTTGCAATCGACGCCTGATCTCTACGGAACGCGATCGTAATAGTCTTTAAACGAAACGCGTGAAATTTGACCGCGTCAACACGAAGTGTTTGTCCGCGGCAATTTTTTACGTGTTTCTTTTGAACGCGTAGACACGCTCATTTTGGTCGTGTTAAGGTGTCATTTGTCATTTTGTTGACAGTTTTTTTCAAATTGCTAAAACACTACAAGTGGAATTTGAGGCTCACTCAGTGAAACCATTCACTCATGTACCCAATCTTTAGACCAAGCCTGCAAAAATACAAGGACAGTATATGCTTTGCACTCAGTTTGCATTTGAAAAACAAACTATTTGCAAAACTCTAAACACATTTCTCTACATTACACACATCATTCAAAACTAACAGCTCTTGTGTTTCATTTGGGAAACACTGGCATTTAAATGCCACATTAATTTACTGATGACCTACAGCCAATCATGTGGGAAAACACTTGTACATAAATTGATCACTTAGAAATCAAAACTCAGTTTTGAGAAAGAAAGAAATTATTTTTACTATTATTATATATTTAATTATTTTCAAGACATTTTGGACAATTTCATGCTCCTAACTTTGTGGGAACAGTTTGTAGATGTAAAACATCAAGATGATGCATTTTTTTTCTTTTTATTGTAAATGTCAATTTACAGTTATTACACACAGTTAATGTGCAAAACAGACAAACACAAGGTAGAAATAGACAATATACAGCATATATAAAAACACATTAGCACATTATTACACTTTGCTCTAGTGTAGTTCGACAGTTTACCTTTAATTTCATGACATCGACTACATGTTCAAGAAACATTTGCATGTCATTCATTACAGTAAAGATGAAGCAAAAGGGTTCCAGAGCATCGATTCTGTCCTGTGGAAACTCAGCCTTCTCTAATCTCTCAATGGCTTCCGCAACGTCTTGTTCCTCCATACACTCTACTTTGGGCAAATGAACAGAACCATACAGTGCACTAGATTGATCCAAACACCACTTGCTGGCTATCTTCAAATCTGGCATCAATCGACTCTGTGAAATAACACGGAGAACAAGGGATTGCAAGTGACGCCACAGCCGGTAGCGGAGAGCAGGTGTCGACTGCAAGTGACGTCACTTGCAGCGGAAGCGCTCGTGTCTGAGCGTGCAAGTCTGAGCGTGCAAGTCTGAGAGTGCAAGTCTGCAGCCAGACCCTTCTCAACGCCGACACACACAAAACTGTGATGACGCTCTCTTATCTGCTTGCGCTAGTGTAGTTCTCCCTGTGGCCCAGTGGCAGAACCTGAAGCTTTCACGCGAGAGACCCGTGTTCGATCCCGGCTCTCGCAGCAGATAAAAATTTAGTCTCGCCGCGGCCAGACTTCCACCGAAACTTTTCGCTCGTTCAGTTCCAGAAAATGCGACTGTTCCAGTGTATTTTGCAGTAAACAAGCTGGTACCACGGCCCGCTTGCCTGCACATAAAGGCCGTTTCCATGGCGACCCAGAAAAATCATGTAATCATTGTATTTCTGGTTTTCCGGCCACAGCCGATGGTGTTATAAGTGTAATAAAATGCTCACAGCCCAGTGTTCATTTCTACACACAAACACAGCCCGCCACGGTACAGGGCTCGCACAAATGAAATCGACGCATGTCAATTGTGCATTAAATGTAGTGAATGTGCCCACAACCCAGTGCCCACAAACACTACCACGGTTTCTGTAAAACGAAACCAACACAAGTCTTCCTAGCCTCCTAGGAAATCGACGGTGTTTCAGTCTCGCCGTGGCCAGACTTCCACTGAAATTTTCGCTCGTTCAGTTTCAGAAAATGTGACTGTTCCAGTGTATTTTGCAGTAAGCAAGCCAGTACCATGCCCGCTTGCCTGCACACAAATGCTGTTCCCACGGCGACCCAGATAAATCACATAAATGGTGTATTTTCTGGTATTCCGGCCACAGCCGATGGTGTTATGAGTGTATTGAAAATGCCTACAACCCAGGGCTCATTTCTACACACAAACACAGCCCGCAAAAATGCTGGGCTCGCACAAACAATCCGGCCACGGCCGATGGTGTTATGAGTGTTGTAAGAATGCCCACCCAGTGCCCATTCCCACACCCAGACACAGCCCGCCACGGTGCAGGGCTAGCACAAATAAAATCGACTCAGGTCGATTGTGCAAACAATGTAGTAAACGCGCCCATGTCACCATGCCCGCTCACACTACATGCTGCGTGTCCCTTGGTTTCTGTAAAAACGAAACCAACACACATTCAGTCGGCCATGACCGACAATGTTTTCAGTGTAATAAATGTGCCCGCAGCCCCGCGCCCACATTTTCTCACAGACACGCCGATTCCTACGGGATCTCCCCCGCTCGCTTTTTCTGCACAATCTGCCATAAAAAAGCTGAGCGCGGCCAGGCCGCCCGCTGTGATCAGCGCGCCCCCCGCCTCGAACGCTGTAAACACGGTGTTGTGTTCCCAGTATGCCCGGGCTCTCGAGCTGCCGTTTTGTCGCGGCCGGAGCCCGGATTTCATTCTGCCTCTAGCTATTCACGCAGATGCGTGGTCAAAGCTTCCCGGGGTATCAGAATGGGTGCTGAACACTATAAAGAGAGGCTATTCGCTACAATTCGCTCAACGCCCGCGCCGTTATACGGCGCGTGTCGAAACTACGGTGAAAAACGAAGTGTCTCATCTACTTCGTGCCGAGATAGCGAAACTACTGAGCAAAGGGGCTATAGAACCTTTATCTCAGGCTCAGAGCGAAGGGGGCCTATACAGCAGATATTTTCTGGTACCGTAAAAGGATGGGGGTCTCAGACCCATTTTAGATCTACGACAGCTGAACAGAGTGCTTGTGAAACGCCAGTTCAGAATGCTTACGACCAGGAAAATCCTCGCGCAAGTGCGCCACGGGGACTGGTTTATGTCGATAGATCTGAAAGACGCCTATTTCTAAATACAAATAGCGTCCCATCACAGGCGATTCTTGAGATTCGCCTTCGAGGGCCAGGCATATCAATACACAGTCCTGCCGTTCGGCCTGTCCCTAGCACCTCGTACATTCACGAAGTGCATGGACGCGGCGCTCGCACCCCTGAGACTTCAGGGCATGCGAGTCCTGAACTACTTGGACGATTGGCTGATTCTAGCTCGATCACGATCGGAGCTCATAGAACACAGGGCCGCATTACTCGAGCACCTCGAGGAGCTGGGCCTCACAGTAAATTGGGCGAAGAGCTCACTGTCTCCCAGTCAGAAAATTTCCTTTCTGGGAACCGTGTTGGACTCGCTGTCCATGACAGCACGCCTGTCACCAGAGCGCGGGCTAAATATTCAGCGCGGCGCGAAATCCTTCCGCCACGGCGCGATAGTTCCGCTCAAAAGGTTTCAGAAAATGCTGGGGCTGATGGCCTCAGCAGCCTCTGTACTCCAGTTGGGCTTGCTCCGCATGCGCCCACTGCAGATGTGGCTGAAAGCGCGGGTTCCACCCAGGGCATGGACAGCGGGTCTGTTTCGCCTCAGGGTCGACCTTCAGTGTGTTTCAGCTCTGGAACCTTGGAAAATAACCGACTGGTATCAGTCAGGTGTGAGTCTGGGGACCGCTTCGAGTGTGAAGGTGGTGTCTACGGACGCCTCCACCTCGGGGTGGGGAGCGCTGCTCGAGGGCAGACCGCTAGCTGGCCTGTGGTCAGAACGGGAAAAGCTCCTTCACATAAACTGCTTGGAGATGATAGCAGTCGACAAAGCGCTACGGCGTTTTTGTCCCCAGGTAACAGGCCACCACGTCTTGGTCCGGTCGGACAACATGTCAGTGGTGGCATACATAAATCGCCAGGGCGGCGTCAGGTCACGAAACCTTCACAGGCTGACGGAACGCCTCCTGGTCTGGGCTCAGCACAACCTGCTCTCACTGAGAGCAGCGCACGTGCCTGGTCACCTGAATGTGGGACCAGACAGACTGTCCAGGAACAATGTTCCAGCAGGGGAATGGTCGTTGCACCCGCAGACGGTCCAGCTGCTGTGGAAAACGTTCGGCAGAGCACAGGTGGACCTATTCGCGTCCCACGAAAACGCTCATTGCCCGGAGTTTTTCTCGAAAAGCAAGGACGCGCTGGCTCATGTTTGGCCCCGCTGCCCCCTATATGCTTTTCCTCCTGTCTCGCTCCTGCCTCAGGTGTTGGAACGAATCAGGGAGAACGGATGCCCAGTGCTGCTCGTAGCTCCGCTCTGGACAAACCAGACGTGGTTCCCTGCCCTGATGCAGCTGACCAGCACTGCCCCATGGCCTGTACCATTGAGGAGAGACCTCCTCTCTCAGGCGGAGGGCTCGATTTGGCACCCTCGCCCGGAGTTGTGGTCCCTGCACGCATGGGCCATCAACGGGTACCTGCTAGCCTCCCAGAAGGAGTGTTAAACACGATCGCGCAGGCTAGAGCTCCGTCTACCAGGCGGCTCTACTCCTCGAAATGGTCTGTTTCTCTGCATGGTGTCAAGCCCAGAGCTTTTCACCTGTGGAATGCGGGGTTTCGGAAGTACTTTCCTTCCTTCAAGAGCTACTGGATAAGGGCAGGACCCCATCCACGCTCAAAGTATATGCGTATAAGGCCTCTTCGTGGGCATGGTCGAGCGGGGTTTCCCTGCAAGATATCTGTACGGCCGCGGGCTGGGCCTCGCCGTCTACATTTATAAAATACTATAACCTGGAGGTACCCGCCTTACAAGCTAAGCTTTTGGCGGTCTAAAATTCAGTGCTATCTGCCCCGCTGTGCGGCCCAGATGCTGAGTTTACTGCAGCCCCATGAGTGTTGACACACGTATGGCCACCCAGATCAGGCTGAAAGCTTTCACCCTGGCTGCGCGTTTTATTGTCATATGATAGCCCCGCTGGGTGCTTTTTTATAGGGAATGATGCTTCCAGCCTCTCTTCCTCCACTCTATGTGAGTTTATGGTGATTATGCACTACATGAGCCCTGGGCTTCGGCCCTCGGGACTTTGGTGTTGGATCCCTGTACGCACGGCGTGTTGCATTGTGTTCCCCTAGCGTAAAGCTATTACGCAGTACGAGAGATACTCTCGTAAGAGAACGTACTCGGTTACTAACGTAACCTTGGTTCTCTCTAGAGAGGGAACGAGTACTGCGTATCTTGCCGTGCTTGGAATACGCTCTGGTTCGCTTCAGCGATAAAAACCAGCTTGTATCAGCCTAACGAGCATATTTATAGGGTGAGACCACGCCCCTTCTGGCGGGACGTGACGATATGGGCGCGAATTGCCCCCATTGGTCATTACGTCACGCAGAGTCTCTCTCGATAGGCTGCTGCATTTGCTGCAGAGCAACCAATAGGCGCGCGAGCTGTTTCGCCTATGTCTGCTTGCTGCTGCAAAGCGTTTTACATTAATAAAAAATTAAGGATAATTTTTGGCTTCAATATCTCGCGGAAAAGAGTTTTTCCCCTAGCGTAAAGCTATTACGCAGTACTCGTTCCCTCTCTAGAGAGAACCGAGGTTACGTTAGTAACCGAGTACGATTTTTTCAACATACAGTATGTGTTAATGATCATCTGTTCAGAAGAAAAGATTGTTATCATGCACTTGAAATTAACTCTATCCATCTCATTGGGATTATTTCAGCTGCATAAATTCATATCAGATTTATCCAAGGATACTGATACCTAACACATTTTATATCAATCTTGCAATCCTGTTTGTCTTTGAATGTTCATTTGTAGGCCAATTTAAAAAGTTATTTCAAGAAAAAGAATGTGCATATTGATATCCTGATGGAGGCAATCCACGGGCAGTGTGCATCTCTGCCTCCGACCGCCTTAGAGATCAAAATGGTACGCACTGTGTATGACTGTGTATGACCTTAAAACCGTTCAAAAAGATTCAAGCTCCATACGTCACCCCTCATTCTCTCCAATACTTCCTTTATTTCTGACAGATCATTATAAAAATAGCTTACAACTGTGTTTCCAAAGTGTACCTGGAATGCCTGATGAAGACAAAGTTCAGAAAGCTAGAGAAGCTTTGGGGAAATGCTGAGGAAAAGATAAAAGAGGATGTTCAACGTTTTCACGCAACATTCTCTGAACTGGTGAAAAAAATTAATGCTTTCATTTCCATTTGTATTTAAGGGCTGATTTCCTGATGCACCTGACTAATGGAAATCAGGGTCAAACTATATTTAAAGGACACCTATTATGCCCCTTTTCTTGATTTTGGAGTCTACTAGAATAGCCTTTCATGCTTGGATGTTCACAAAACATTATTTTTCACATATTTTACATTGTTGCAGCACCTCTCCTCCCAGTCTTTCTGTAACGCTTTATGAAGCCCCTCCTTCCCGAAAAGTGCAATGTGCTCTGATTGGTCAGCTGGATAAGTGTGTTTTGATTTGGTGCATTGAAGTCATAAAAGATTTACGAGCTGAACGCACATTAACAGTGTCATAAAGTAAGAGTGGGAAGCTCGGGATATTTTTAAATAAGCTATTTGCCTGCACAAAATGCACTGTAATATAACAATATAATATGTCAAGTTTACAATGGCTTCATAAATGAAATAAAAACATAAAAAAAGCAAAATACACCCGATGCAAGTTCTTAATTTTTAAAAAAGAGTTTAAAAATCTTGCAGAATTTTTGTGTAGTTAAATAAGAGAAGATACACCTGTAACCCCTCAGGTCCTACTCACCCCGCTCTCTACGAGCCTCAAACCTCAGTCTATAGCATCAGCTGCTAGTGTGCCTCTTGAGGTCATAGGAGGGAGGTTTACCTGCACAGCTCTTACTAGCTGGCCTCCGTTACACCATCTTGCTTCAACGAAAGCGACTTGAATGCACCTGACATCTCGTAATAACCTTCCCAGGAGGGCTTGAATACACCAATTGGTCAGCCGCTTTGAGCTTGTTTCAGAGATGTCACGCACGCCCCTTACCATAACTGCGAGTTTTAACACACTATAAACGCAACTCAACCAGAGCTCGCTCCTTTTTTTGTGTATGCCTTGGGCGGGAATTATTTATTTATTTAAACGAGGAATATTGTGAAGTGTTCGTTCCCAGAAGAAAACTCAAGACTTCAATGGAGGCGTTTCTGGGAGTTCAGAAACAGTGAGCACTAATATAGAGAATAACCCCCTTTGGAGTGAGTTTGTGCTTTGTAACTTTGCAGACCTTTTTCATGCTCAAACAGCAACATTACATGCTAAAGAAAGTTGAACATGTAAAAAAGCATAATAGGACCCCTTTAACATAATTGTTCCACATTGACTGTTGAAATAAGAGAACAGTTTGCTTTTACATTCATTATATAAATAAAAAGCTCATGGTTTGAGTTTTCTGCTTGCAGAATGGCAGTGTTGCCCAGCAAAACCAGCTCCTTCAGAGAATGAGTGAAGTTTTGCTTTGCAGTGATGTAGATGCACTGAAGATTACCTGTTGTGATTTGTTCAGAGATTTCCCACATGAGAGGTAAACCCAGACCAGTCATCAACACTTCACTTCAGTTTCAAACATGTATTTACAGGTCTTTAAATGTATCTCTTTTCAGTGTGTTAGAGTTTTCAAACAGTGAAGTCTTCTAAATGTTTTGCAGTGAGGAGTATGTACCTGGTCTGCTGCGCTGGAAAGAGGTGTTATCAGAGCGACAGGTGAGGGAAATACTGGATGTGATCCGGGACCTGTATCCAAATCATAGAAGTCACAGTGTCACCTGTCCTTTGGGCTTTTCCTTATTTTCTGGTAAATAGCTTGCTCAAAATAGATGCCTCTGAACCTATCAACATCATTGGCTTGAATCAGTTTTGTAAAGTTCCCCCAAGCCAACTTGCAGATCTGAAACGTTATTGCTGCTCAAGGAGGTCAGATGCTGAAAACGAAGGTTGATATTTTTTCAAGTAAAGATATTTGGTAACACATTGATGGTACCCCACAAGACATTATATTAATTGACTTTAAGTACCTTTGCAAATACATATCAACTTTTTCAGTAAACCTTTACCCTTGTTTATGACAACCTATACCCAAACCCTACAGTTGGTAATAGTAAGATATGGAGAATGTTCTCCAAACATTGTGCTATTTCTGCCATCTAGCATTCAAAACTGATCTGATGTAAATTTTTTAACACGGTTCTAGTTCATTTCTTTCACACCTACACATAATGCAGGCATCAAAGCTACTCCAGTGACTTTATCTCCCAGTGTGTCTGAAATCTGTCCGGCCAATTTGGCATTCTCATCCTTTTTTACCAAAAATGTGTTTTAGGTGGACAGATCAATACAGTAAAAAGAACATGTAGGATGTTGTAAAATAGCAATGTCTTTTCTGTTAACCAAATGCTTTTTAATCTTCGATATTGCTTCAATGCAAATGAACAAGCGCGCTGTTATTTGTTGTGTAGTGACGTGCATGTTCAAGAAGCGTAAGCCAGATATGTGCAGATTCTGCGCAATACGCTGTATTTAATAGATCACAATGACTCACAAGTTGAGTATTTGCACTAAATCTGCGCAGATTTGGCTTACACGAACTTCCCCAGCAAAATGAGTAAAGTAACACGTCAAATTGGCTAGTGATTTGACAGCGTTACCCGCCACAGTTCATTTTTACCCGCATTTGGCTGGTGTTAATTTCAAACCCTGATATAAGGCATACGTTTTTTAAATGGAACAGTTTATTGAGTATCATATTTGATGCATCAGGATTTTATTACTTATAAATAAGAAAATATAGAGCTCATACTCAATTAGGTAAAAAAAAAATATTTGTTTTTATTCAGAGGCCCAAACTGAGGGAAATGTATGCATTTTGGTGTAGTTGCTGATATTTATATGGCCAAAAAGTAAGATAAAATTCTGATAGCTTGTAATGTAGAGGTCTTAATAACAATATAGCAGCCTACATAAAATGCATATAGATTTTACTCAAAACATATAATGCAAATGCAATACAATGACAATTGAGAGATAACCGTTCCTCAAAAGCCTGATGCATTATATTTGATTCTTGCATTATAAATGTAATGATTATGCTCAGTTTTGTTTTTGTTTTCTCTGTGTTCTGTTTCTGTTTGCCTGTGTTCCCTTTGCTAGTTTGTCTTCATGGTGTTTAATTGAGTTCTCATGTGTTCCTAGTTACGTTAATTATCCCAGTATGTATTTGGGCCTTTGTTTCCTTCATTCTAATGTCTCATATTCTCAATGTTAATGTGGTTGTATTTGATTTATTCTCCTGCGATCTCCTGAGTGTTCCTCCTTTATTTTATTAAAGACTGTTTTGTTATCTAACTCCTCTCCATCATGTTACGAACTTCCGTGTTAATGTCACTACAGCCATTCCTTGACATTAACACGATTCTTCTAAAAAATGATGTGATTAATCAATAAAGCTAAGTTGCTTCAGTCAAGTGTTCATCTTGAAATATTACTGACATAAAAGTTATTCTTATGTGTACTTTATAAAAATCAGTAAAGATTTCACAGTCAAAAGACATATGTACAACAACCTATAGGGGGATGAATTTAAATTGATGGATGAATAATAAAAGCCCTTTTAAAAAATTATAAACAATCAATCAGATGACAGATGGCATGTAGAAGATTCTATAACAGGTTTTCAGCAACAGTTTTTTATCATTTTGATATTTAGAGGTCTTAGTATCGAATACACTCACCTAATGGATTATTAGTAACACCTATTCAATTTCTCATTAATGCAATTATCTAATCAACCAATCACATGGCAGTTGCTTCAATGCATTTAGGGGTGTGGTCCTGGTCAAGACAATCTCCTGAACTCCAAACTGAATGTTAGAATGGGAAAGAAAGGTGATTTATGCAATTTTGAGCGTGGCATGGTTGTTGGTGCCAGACGGGCCGGTCTGAGTATTTCACAATCTGCTCAGTTACTGGGATTTTCACGCACAACCATTTCTAGGGTTAACAAAGAATGGTGTGAAAAGGGAAAAACATCCAGTATGCGGCAGTCCTGGGCGAAAATGCCTTGTTGATGCTAGAGGTCAGAGGAGAATGGGCCGACTGATTCAAGCTGATAGAAGAGCAACTTTGACTGAAATAACCACTCGTTACAACTGAGGTATGCAGCAAAGCATTTGTGAAGCCACAACACGCACAACCTTGAGGCGGATGGGCTACAACAGCAGAAGACCCCACCGGGTACCACTCATCTCCACTACAAATAGGAAAAAAAGGCTACAATTGGCAAGAGCTCACCAAAATTGGACAGTTGAAGACTGGAAAAATGTTGCCTGGTCTGATGAGTCTCGATTTCTGTTGAGACATTCAGATGGTAGAGTCAGAATTTGGCGTAAACAGAATGAGAACATGGATCCATCATGCCTTGTTACCACTGTGCAGGCTGCTGGTGGTGGTGTAATGGTGTGGGTGATGTTTTCTTGGCACACTTTAGGCCCCTTAGTGCCAATTTGGCATCGTTTAAATGCCACGACCTACCTGAGCATTGTTTCTGACCATGTCCATCCCTTTATGGCCACCATGTACCCATCCTCTGATGGCTACTTCCAGCAGGATAATGCACCATGTCACAAAGCTCGGATCATTTCAAATTGGTTTCTTGAACATGACAATGAGTTCACTGTACTTAAATGGCCCCCACAGTCACCAGATCTCAACCCAATAGAGCATCTTTGGGATGTGGTGGAACGGGAGCTTCGTGCCCTGGATGTGCATCCCACAAATCTCCATCAACTGCAAGATGCTATCCTATCAATATGGGCCAACATTTCTAAAGAATGCTTTCAGCACCTTGTTGAATCAATGCCACGTAGAATTAAGGCAGTTCTGAAGGCGAAAGGGGGTCAAACACAGTATTAGTATGGTGTTCCTAATAATCCTTTAGGTGAGTGTATGATACAGTAGGGCAGGCTTTAAAGCACTAATCATATTTAAGACTCCACTGTCTGTTGGTTTGTCACCATGCCATAATAACCTCATATAGTAACAGGGGTGTAATATGTGTTCAGTCTTACCTCACTTTTACAAGATCTACCATGTGTTGGCTCAATAGTGCCATGGCACTTCTAAGGACTGCATGTTTTTAATGTCATTTTCACTTTCCCTGTTATAAGATGTATCTTCTTGCAACTCTTTAAAATTGTAATTGTACGTGCAGTACATGGCACAGTGTAGTAAAATGTGCTGGTTTTGTGTCCTGGTTTTAATTTAGGATGGCACAACCAAAGAGCTGGGTTCACTTTTATTTACTCTTAGTGTCAGAGCCAGTTGGCCCAAGGCTGAGGAATCTGTAATGTGTGAGGACAGTATGAGACTGGGTTTCACTTTCATTTCCTCTTACATAGTGTCAGTAAATCCTGGTAGTCCAAGGACGAGGAATATGTGAGGTGTGAGGAAAGTACCAAACAACCAATGGCTAAGCTGTAAATCCATTGGCTGGAATTTTTCCAATTCCAGGGGAAACTTCCATAAGTGTACCTGTTTTGAGCACTGTAATCTCACCAGTTACTCGGATGTATACTGTAGAACTAGCAAGCTCTTTATTTGTCTCAGTCAAGTATGGCATTGAAGCAAACAAAAATAGGTAAATCAATTTACAATAAATTGAAGGGGAAAAAACAGGATGGGAATGAAGAGAAACCTTTAATGAAAACCATAAAGCAGACAGATGGTAAGACACTCTCTTCTTCATTTATAATAGTCCATTGATTTGAAACTTAATCTTTGCATCTTTGCACTTGTCAGAAAAGCCAACAAGTTTCCATGGGAATACTATGCAAGCATATTGTTTCATGTTTTGTATATTTGCATGGTTTGATGAATCACATTTAAGTTTAGGGTTAAACAATATTTCAAAGGGAATACATTTCCACTTGCTTTTGGATCAGATGACACTAATTTTTTTTGCATATTGAATTTATTTTAAAAAATGCATTAAAATGTGATTCCCTTAATGGCTTAAATATGCTGAGATTATTTTTAAATTAATTTAAAAAATGTAACATTAAAACATTAAAATATCAGAGTGATTCGGCTTTCATAAAAGGCCTCTCATAACAGGCCTCTTTCATAAAAGGACTTTATTAAAACAAATTAATATGCAGGATAACAAACAGGAAATGACATCATAGAGAGGACCCCTGCAGACCCTCATGTGTCAGACAGGGTCAACAAGTCTCTTAAAATATCAGACCCAAAATATCTCTTAAAATATATAACCTTTTATGATAAGACACATAAAAATGTTATGTGGTGACTCCCCCAAAACTAAATGATAATTATAACTGAATAATTCATGATCTTTGAAATAATGTTCAATCTGTGTTGCTTCACAAGTGTAAGAAAGACTTTTTATTTGATGATTTACACTTTTCTTGAAAATAGCATTTAAATGTTTTCAAAACATATGAAACCAAAATGAATGCAAACAAGATCTTGGAACATCTTTATATCTTACATAGCTTTATACATTTTTCTTTATCATGCACACTCTTATTTGTCACTGCTTTTAACAGGGGAACAGACGTTTGAATACATGGAAAGTTCAGATCAGTCTGGACGAGTGTATCTGGATCTAATAGGTCCAGATGTTGAAGTGAGTGGCAAGAAAGAGCTTGATATTCTCAGAAAGATTCTGAGTGAACAATCAAACCCTGAAGACCTTGACAAGGCAGCTGAGGTGTTGAAAAGATGGAGCAAACTGAACCGTGTTACCATAGACAAGAAAGAAGGCAGATTCCCTCAAACCTGGCCCTGTGAGTATCTTCAAGAAATAGATCAGTTTGTGGAAAACCACATTCCCACACTGCCAGTAGAGGGACCACAAGGATCTCAGTTAGAGCAGTTACGGGACTTTCTAAAGAGCACACACAGCATGATATGCCATGAGGTGTTTCGATTAACACCTGTACTGGAAGATACTGGGCTGCTAGATCGTCTGGTTGACAGCTACAGCCATCACCTCTTTCTCAAGTTGGACATGCTCCTAAACAGAGATCTGTCTGTGAAAGAGACCTTCTGCATTTTACAGTGGGGGAAAGATGTTTTCTTCAGGTATGATGTTAATTGGTGTTTACTTTTCCGTAAATCTGCTTGTAATAAACAAATGAAGCATGAGCTGTTGATGAATATGAACTAATTTGTTACAGTCCAGATTCGCAGCATGTCGTCAGAGTGTATGACCCTCTGCTGTTGACGGGATGGTTTGAGAAAGCAATAAGGAAACTACTGCCAATACTAAAGGTCATAATATGCTCCACCTTTAATTGTTAAAAGCATTATCAATGTATTAGGCTAACAAGGAGGAAGCTAAATATTCAGGAAGGACATAAAACATGTGTCTCTGTCCCATTTTAAATGCCACAGAATGACATCTCTAAGACTCTACAGAACATCCTGCGCTATGATGAGCAACAGGAATCGACGGACGAAGAAAGTTTCATCAGAGTGCACATAGATGTCACTCAGGTAGAGTAAACAATGCACAATCATTCAAAAATGGATTTTTAATGGTTTCTAAATATGCATTGCACACTTATTTTATGTTGTTATGTCTTTTCAGTGTCTGAATGCTGTTCTTGCAAATTCTGAAGCATTTAGTAAGACCCTTAAGTGTACGGCACAAAAGCTCTGTCTCAAAGAGCTTCATCGTTTTGTTCGGAAGTAAGTGTATAAAATGTGTTTGTCTTCTTATTATCAAAATATTTATTTTTGATACATGTTTGTTTATTGATTTCTTCATACCAACATACTGAAATAATATGAACATTAATATGAACTTTTACTTGTTCATATGTTTTCTAGGTATGTGGATGCAGAGAAAAAACACCTAACAAATTGGCAACCCTTGAAAACAAACTCTGTGTACCTGTTTCGGGTCATCAGCACCTGTAGGCAACTCAGGTGAGTTTTATTTTTAATGATAAATACAATAATAACTTTATATATCACTCAAAACCTGTCCAGTGTACAATTAACTGACTTTATATGCATTATATTCTGAATCATTCTGTATACCTGCATTATGTTCATACACAGGCAACCACAGAACTGTAGTTCTTTCGTAAAACCAGTTTTATTCTTATATTTATTTTCCTGTTTAGATTTTTTGCTCCCCAACTCAACAAACCAGATATAAACAACGATCTCTTAAACATCATCTGCTGCATATTAAAGGAGATGGAAGATCACGTTTTGTCTATTGTACAAAAGATGATGAAACACTTAGCACAGGTATGTCAGTATTTCATCATCAACAGTTTATGCATGGAAGGAAAGTTGGGGGATTTCCCAAATTAACAGAATTCCTAAAATGGAATGTCCCAGAAATTCTGAAATTATTTTTTGTTTGCTTATATAGTTTGCTTACATTTCATTGTTCAAGGTTAAATTTGTGTACTTAGTATGCATTAGACATCATGAAATAACAATGAACAATGCTTTTCAAGCATTTCAACCATGATTTTATAGTAAACAATAGTGTATATTTATAAATTGACATTAACCTAGAGAAATAATTATGAAAATAATTAGGAAATTACTATATTTTTTCTGTAAATATACATTTCCAGGACAGTTTGAGACGTTATTTCAAAAAGGGATGTGAGCAAATTCATACCCTGACAGAGGCAATCCAAAAGCAGTGTGCATCTCTGCCTCAGAATGACGTGGGAAAGGAAATTCAAGAGGTTGGTTCTGTACTCATAAACCCACTCAAACTTAATTCTTCAACAACAGAACTTTAACTTTACATAACTCTTTCACACTTATTTTCTGCTCTTCTGCCCCACTTTCTTTCTGATAGATCTTTGTGGATGTCGCCTACGACTGTGTTTCACGCGTGTATCTGGATTGCCTGATGAAGAGCAAGATCAAGCGGCTTGAAAAGAGATGGGGAAATGTCGGAGAAAGGATGAGAGAGGACGCTCTCAATTTTCACAACACATTCACTGAACTGGTAAAAAAACAAAAAAAAAAACACTTTCCTGTTGCATTAAGTTTTTAAAAGTTCTTATCTCATCAGAAATGTACTTATACTCATAGTGGTGGTACAAAGGCCCAGTTATTGTATGTTCAAGTTACAATTGGTACATGAGTAAAAACAACATAGGGAACTGATATCAACCATTGCTTATTGAAGCAAATGATGCAATTCAAACTAAATGATCCAGTAGTTCACAAGTTCCTTTGCCCATGATCTTTAAGCTGATAAGGTTAAGCGTATTTGGCTTGCTGTCCGCAGTGGAGGGGCTCGAGGAAGCAGCTTCAACTCGAGCTTAGATATACCCCCCAGTGAGACTATTAATGCTTGGATGATGAGTATGGTAGCAAGATGCCTAAATTATATTGGTAGAGTTGGGTAGGTGGAGGGATGCCAAAACAGAGCAAGGTGAGCGACTGCTTATATGCTCCGGCAGTTAATTGAAAGATTAGATGGGTTCACTCCTCTCGAAATTACGTTGTGAACTTCATATTTCCACAAACACTGTTTGTTATACCGGTTAAAACTCTCTTCATCCTGATAGCAATCAATAATAGAAGTGGTCTAAGGCTATGTTTACACGGAAACGATCTGAAGAGAAAACGCAAAAGTGGCGTTGCATTATCACTGTTTATTCTGCGTTTAGACGAGCGTTATGGTTGGGAAATCCGCGTGCATATGGTGACGCAAAAGCATGTGAAATTCGATGTAGTATGCACTCCAGGCGGCTAGGTGGCAATGTGAAGCACTGCCACACAACAACACCAATATCTTAGAATATTTTTTACAACTGCTGAAAAGACTCTTGTATGTTTTTCAGAGCTGCTAGGGCAACTTGAAGGTCCGACGTATGGAAATAATCCGACATGTTGGTTGTTATTTTCCTGTACTGGCGCATGCATGTGACGTAAACGCGTACGCGACGACCGTGAGCAGATTTGCGTTTTTACCATTTAGACGGGAACGCGACAGTGGAGCGTTTTTAAGATTTCCACTCTGGAGGGTGGTTTCACTTTTTTGCGTTTTTAAGCCCCCAAAACGCTGTTGCCGTGTAAACGAAAGGCACATCCGATAAAATATTTTTACGTTTTCACCCGGAATCGTTCTCGTGTAAACGGGGCCTAAATATTGTACATATATCCGTCATGAAACTCTAGATGCCGCAGACTGATAGGTCCATAACACAATCTGCTTGCAATCACATCATTCTAGGGCAGTGGTTTCCAACCTTTTTTTGTCTGAGACCCCCTTTTTCTCAAGAAAATATTTTAGGGCCCCCCTTCACATTTAATGATATTATCGCTCTTGTAAGCTTGCAGCAAGGATGACAAAATATGTTGTTTTCAAACAAACGGTATGTTTATGCACAAATAATAGCCTATAATATTGAAAATACAATAACAAAAACATCAGTAGGCCCTTTGTAATTTAAAAACGTAAGCCTAGGAGAAGCCTATATATTGGCCCTATTTGAAATGCAAAAACAAAAATATTCACACTGGTGTGTAGGTAAAAAAAGAAAGAATATAGGCTATTACTAAATGACTGTTGTCTGGGGCCTCAATACTTGCATGTTATTTGTGAGGCTTTATCAATGTGAGGCTTTATTTTTTACGCTTTTGGCGCTATAGCGAGCGATAATAAACTTTATTACCAGAATAATGCGTCTTTCGGAAGAACATTGTAGCCGGAACTACATCTCTCTGTGTACGTGTAACGGAGGACAGCTAGTAGTTGCTGTGCGAGTAAACCTCACTCCTCTGATCTCAATAGGCGCACTAGCGACAGATGCTAGAGGCTGCAGTCTTAAGCCTCCTTGTTAGAGCGCCTTACTCTCACGCCGGAGACCCGGGTTCGAGACCCGCTCAGAGCGGGGTGAGAAGGACCCGGGTGGAGGGGTTACATTGGTGCCGTGACCCGGATGGGAGTGAGGTTTAGGGGGGTGAGTGTAACGGAGGCCAGCTAGTAGTTGCTGTGCGAGTAAACCTCACTCCTCTGATCTCAATAGGCGCTCTAGCAACAGATGCTAGAGGCTGCAATCTTAAGCCTCCTTGTTAGAGCGCCTGACTCTCATGCCGGAGACCCACTCAGAGCGGGGTGAGAAGGACCCAGGTGGAGGGGTTACATACGTCTATGACGATTCACGCAGGTACTGGGCTACTCCGCAGCGGCAGCGATCCGAAGCAGTGTAAAATAGTCCCAATGTAAACACTTATTATAGGTGTACCATGGTGGTTCAGGATAAGACAAAAACACCGATTGGAAAATGGATTCATGATGAACTCGCTCATTATATAAATTTAGTAAATTTTGAACAGAAAAAAGTTAAGGACTTTTATTTAATGCTCATTGCTCAAACCTTTCAAAATATGACACGGCCCCCCACAGAGCTCGCTGAGGCCCCCTTGTGGGCCGCGACCCCCCTGTTGGGAACCGATGTTCTAGGGCACACCTGATTGGTTCCTGCTGTATCAGTAGCCAATGAGCTCGCTTCTCAACCTTCAAAGACTTGGTCACCATTTGGTGTAGCAGTTGCAGTGGCTTTCAGAAACCCTCCACCTTCCCCAGCTCCACCTGTATAGATCTGCTACGGGTATTTCATACATGCTATATTGTACAGCAGCAGCATGTCTTACTTGCTCACAGCAGCGTGTCATATATTTATTGGCAGTAGCAAGTCCTGTACTTGCTCTGTAGCAGCAGCGTCAGCAATAACCAGCAGCATAGCAGATCTATTCTGCCAAGACCAAACATATTAACAGTGTCATAGCCATTACCATGCAAAACACTTCGAGAGTTGTCATGACAGAAATATCTCCATGTGTGTTTCATGAGGCTATGCAGAGATGAAGACTTCTGATCTAAAACAACGAGCTTATGCTGCGCTCACACCACGTTGTAATTAATTAAGAGATGACAGCCCGTGTTGCACTTTGAGCTGTTCTCTCCGAAATTGTCTACCGTAATTTTAATGTCTTTAAGATACTGAATTAAAAAGAACTTTGACAGTGACGATCAGATAATCCCCAAGAGTATGACTCATGTGCACATTAGCCACAGCATCAACACAATGCAGTATTTTCATAGACAATGTATCTGTTTCCTGCAGAGTGGCAGTGATGACCAGAGGAACCAGCTCCTTCAGAGACTGAGTGAAGTTGTGCTTTGCATTGATGTAAATGCACTGAAGGTTATCTGTTGTGATTTTTCCCAAAGTTTCCCAAAGGACAGGTAAACTCAGCCAATAACACTCGACTGTCTTTGTATAACATTTGTAATATTCAAACATGTAATTACAGGTCTGGAAATGTAGGTTTTATTGATATTTGAAAGAGTATTTGTGTGTAAATGAGTACTTTTGTTTTCATCAGAAAGTGCAGTGAAGTCTTCTGAATGTTTTGCAGTGAGCAGTATGTACCTGGTCTGCTGCGCTGGAAGGGGGTGTTATCAGAGCGACAGGTTAGGGAAGTACTGGATGTGGTGAGGGACGTACTGGATGTGATCCGGGACCTTCACCTGGATCCAAAGCCTAGATGTGTCACCCGTCATTCCCTGAAGGGCTTTTGCTGTTGTCTTTGATATGAATAACACCATGAGTCAGACTCATAAAACCTTTGTTTACAAGTGTTTACATGGCATGACTGGCATTACTGTTTCTTTTTTTCAATGTTTCTAATTTTTTATACATATAATTTGTGTCAAATGACCTTTTTGTTTTTACTTGAAAGAGGAAATAATGTATTTGAAGACCGTTTAGGTGTTTGCAAACAGCGATGGCGTGTTTTGTTGGCAGAAAAGGACAGTGTGTGGAAGCCATGGAATAAAAGAATAAAAGTGGTAATTTCGAGTTTATGTCTTTTTAATTCTGAGAAGAAAAATCAGAATTGTGAGATATAAATTCTTTTTAATTTCATTCATTCGAAAGTCTTTTTTCCTCGGAATTGTGATATAAACTCGCAATTGTGAGTTATAAAGTCAGAATTTGGAGATAAAATTATTATAGGTTTAAATGCTATTTATGTAAACTGCATATATAATATGTAAAGCTATTGTTTACATCACATTGGTTTAATAGTAGACTAATCATCGCAGGTTTCATCAGTTCAGTTTGTGGCTTGTAACCATAAATGACTCCGTTTAGCTTCAATGGGCATCTTTTGACAATGATATTTTTTTGCATTCCAGTTCATTCAAAATCCAAAAGCACAAGACATTTTTTCTCTTATTCTGTGGATTTTGTCCGTTTCCCTCCACTTGTTACCGCTGTTTTTCTGCCATCACAATGTGCGCACAACTGCAGGTGACGTAACATGCCTGCTGGTCTTTTGGACCACTGGGGAAAAAAAATAGCTTTTTTTGATACTCAGTGTTTTTTTATGATAATTCGTTGTTAATTAAAAAATATGTATATTTAAAAATGTTATTGTAAAATTATTTAATATTTAAATTGGTTGAATTTTGGTATTTATTCTAATATAAATGTAATTTCATTTGAAAATAGGATGCATTTTTTTTATTCATTTGGGAGATGTTTTTAATCCAATGTGACTTATAAATGTGGTACATCATAAGCAATTTATCATACAAGAGTCAGCAGTACTGTACAACAAGTATACAATAAAAGTTGTAAAAAGACATAAATGGCCCTTTTTGATTCTTTAATGTCTTTTTTTTTCGATAAAATAATTTTCACAGAGTATTGATGTTGTCTCATGTCTTCATGGTTAAATGCATTTGCATTGTGTGTGTATGGCTGATTGACAGTTCGTTTCCAAGGATAGGAAGCAGGAGGTAAAAATAAGTACACTAAAACCACATCCTGTGTTCCTGTAGAGGATAAGGTTTGTCGGGAAATCTTCAGTCTTCAGTCTGTCAGGAACTACACATCCATTGTGACAGCAGATGTGTTTCCTAACTGCACCGGTAACTTGGAATAGTTTACTACTTGACACTTTCACACCACATCCTGTTTGTAGATGTCTGTTATGGGCATTCTCATAATCAGTAATTATCATACATAGCGGCAAAGAAACAATTAGGATGTGTGTACTGGAATTATTTGATACTGATATTAAGAGACAATTACCAAAAATTCTCTTAGGTTTATTTTTCATAAACCATATTACTGAAATTCTGGTATATCCTGGTAGGTACAAAATCTACTCTGCCAAAATCTGATAGCTTCTCTGTGACTATTGACCAGTCCATAGTTTTTCTATCCACGCAGGTTAAAGTGGCCTATAAATAAAATGTATTTTATAAACCACATTACAATGAGAAACTGGAGAAGAGGGTATTGTTAAAGGGTCACTCCACCCATTTCAACATTAATCTTTATTGAAAGTGGGTTATATATGTAGTCGAAATGTAAAAGAAATTTTAAATTTGGTGCCCTCTTGACCGAGAAAAGACAGAAAATAACTTTGGGGCGCATTTGTATGTAAGACAACAACTCCCACAATGCACCATGTTGCACAGCTCCGCAAGCCACTCCCACTAATCCAGAACAGCGCAAACATCAGAGAAATCGCTCTTCCGTCTACAAGAAGGCTAGCTGCCAAATGAGTTTAAAATTCATTTCACAAAAAATGTCTAGTTAGTTGTGGCGAGCAGGACGAGGGCGAGGGACGTGAGAGGACGACGCGAGTGATAATGAATGACACCTGTGCAGCGGTCTCATATCTCTCACGGAGGAGCGGAAGCACAAAAGGAACAGGCCTGATTTTATGTTTTGTTTCTGTTGTGTGTGGCCAGCTGGCTTATACTTTTGTTTTGTATTTGTTTATTTTACTATTAAAACGTTTAAATGTTCGCCGGTTCCAGCCTCCTTCTTCCCACAACAACGAACCCCGTTACATTGGCAAACTCATTAGTGAATTACTCGTTTGTATTTCTTTCTATATGGTGAATTATTGCATGATACCTGCATGTTCAGTCAGGCGAAACTAGGATGGTTCACATCACAACACAAACGTCCGTGTGGTCGTCTGATTCAGAGATTTCGTCCAGGAGAAACTGCCTTGTTGAAATTCTCTGCAGCAGACGGACTCTATCTGTGTCCGTAGCGCACAGCGAGAGCACACGCACCAGCAGTCCGCCCAGCTCAAGCCAGCCCGGGCTCCTCGTCCGCGACAGGCAGCCGCCTCCTGTTCCACCATCAGCCTCAGCTGCTCTTCACTATATTGCGGCTCGTAAAGATAGCCACGAACAGCGGATTCGAGCAGCAGAATTTCAAAATCCTCTTCTTCCATATCATGTTTAGTTTCTTCCGTCATTGTCGTAACTTCCTATATCCACAGCGCTTGTTAGCTTAGCTTATAAACAAGATGGCTGATATTGCTTTCAGTATCTGCAAGTGAAGTCCCACCCACTGATCTGTGATAGCTCTGTTAGCGCATTAGGTCCAACCCCCTATGGGCGGGTTTGAAAGGGTGGGAATTTGTGCTTGTAGTCTATACAGAAATCCCCCCTTTTTACACTTCCTCCTACAATGACGTCAAATGACGATTTTTGCGTCATTGTAGGAGGAAGTGAAAAAGGTAAATAGTAGATTTCTCTCGTCTCAGGGGAAAATGAAAGAATGTTGCACGACCATTCAATAGTATGACTGGTTGTCTAACAATGGACCTCTTAATGCAAATGGGTGGAGTGTCCCTTTAAGAACAAAGATACATTTTAAAGTTTAAAATTAGATCCAACTAATTTTGATAATTTTCATCTTTCTTAGGCCTACTGTTTATTTCTAAAATAGTAGAAAGAGTGTAGCAGCGCAGGTCTCTCAATAAATTGTTTGAAAAATTTCAATTTGGATTCTGTCCATTTCATAGCACAGAAACCGCACTTGCCGAAGAACTATCTGCTTATGGCAGTCCATTCTGGTCATGCAGCATGACTTTACTTATTTTGCTCGATCTGAGTGCGACCTGGGGCCTGTTTCAATAAGGAGGGTTCAACCAACTCTGAGTTAAAAGTTGAACTCTTGAGTTGATTTACCCTGAGATGGGAAACACTAAAGTTTTCAGTTTCAGAACAGCTGAATTGAGTTAGTTCAATCAACTCTGAGTAGGTTGACTCTGGCTGCGTTCCAGTCCACTTTTAGACACGCACTTGCGAACTTCCCTAAGCACTTCCCATAGGGGGAATCCCTGCCGCCATTTTGAAGTGCGTTCCACTTCGTGAAGTGGACGAGGGAAGTTTATATGGACAGACCCTCGTTCCCTCGATTTTGACCGAGGGAGCAAGTCTACTTCATATGTACACTTCAGGCAGCTCCATATACCACAATGCAACACGATTGTGACGTCACCGCAGATCTCGTCAAATCACCACCAGAGACCACCACCACAAACAACTCTATGATATATTAATTATGATTTTTTTCAATTTAAAACAACCCAAACACATCTATATACATTTGGATGCTGCCTTAAACAAATTCTTAAAGGGAAACTATTAAATAATAAATCAACTCCATAGCTGATTCCAAGTGATCAAGGGCTTAGGATCGTTCCAGTTCAGCCCATTGCAGTTTCCGCCAGTAGTGGGCACTCATGCAACGTAAGCAATGACGTACATCCGAGTGAACGAGACGGAGGGAAGTTAGCGAGTGAAGGGCATGACAATTTTGGACTGGAACCACGCAGCCTGGTACGCAGCCTCTGAGTTATGCCTGGTTCAGATTACACGATTTTAGCCCGATTTTGGCACGATCCGTTTGACGTAGGGTGTCGTGGGGATTCGCAAACGACAACGGGCGTCGGGACGCAAGATTCGATCGTATCATCTCGTATAGTGTGTCATAGTGGGCGACAACCTACGTTGCGTCTGCGATGCTTCACGACATCACGACAAAAATACTATGTTTAATTTTTTTAACGGTCGTCCACGGCGGGTTCCGTCACATGTATGGAGCACAGAAGCCAGGGGCGGATCTACCGGGGTGGCATAGGGTGGCAAATGCCACCCTAAAAGAAAGCCTTGCCACCCCTGCTGCCACCCTAGTTGGCAGCAACGAATTAAAAGTTATGGCCAATTTGACAATTTACGAGCACGAATCTCCCATGTCCGACTGCAGTGAATTCGCTACGTGCACAATATGACGACCGTTGACGTTCGTACTTTATTGTGTGGGCAAATACTTCCGGCGAAAACTTCCGGTGATCTGACCGCGAGAGCGGGAGACAGCAAGAGACAACAGCGACCGATTTCCATTACCAGAGAGATAAGTTTTCAACCCGACCAAATTTTTAAATGCATATCATTTTCAGTGTATTTCACCTGTGCGTTTCTATGCTTTATATTACTGCATTTATTTTGTGCAAGTGAGATGAGTAAAGCACATCTGTTTCATATCATTATCTGCCTGGTGTTTATAAGCAGTAGCCTACAGTATTCCACAGTAAAACGCTCAAGTTGGGTGCTCAACAAAATAATATATATAAAAAAGGGAAAAAAGGTCGGCACACCTTGGCTCCAAAAGTTAAACGCACCCCTGCCTTTATACTCACGCAGGGCTGGACTGGCCATAATATTATAACTATTATTATATAGTAGTGTAATGTAGACAGACACTATATCACAACTAAAAGAGTTTTGAGTTTTTCTTTGTTCAATTTGCACACTGAATATGGGTTGGAGCTCTTTATTTTGAACTCTCAAAGTGTACCAGATTGATGAATTTAACATTAAAAAGCACAAAATTTTCTTATGGGGGAGCATGCCCCCGAACCCCCCTAGAGAGAGAGAGGTGCACTCACCGCAGATTTCCCAAAATCCTGTGGGAAAAAACGCTATTGCTA